ATAAATAAATAAATAAATAAATAAATAAATAAATAAATAAATAAATGCCAGAGATATATCTCTGTGGTACAGCACCACACAAAGCCCTGAATTCCACACCCAGCACTGCAAAATAAATAAGTAAATAAGTAAATGAAAAAGAAAACCAAAGCCTGGATCAATTAGATCAGTAGGCCCAGCAGTTGCCCAAGAGTACAAGAAACTGTCCTGCCCTCGTACTAACTTAAGTCATGAAGCTTTTGAAATAAGGATGTTAGCCACCAGAAAGCTCAGATACTGGCCTGTTCTCATTGGACAGAGCACCCCCATGGAGAAAAGAAGTCACACAGGCCAACTGGAGTGGAAAACTTTATCAACTGGTTTCAACAAGAAAACAAGTGAATAAATTTAGAAACATCAACAGTGTCTCCCCCCAACAGCAGCAGGGGAGGGGAGGATGATCGGGAGATCTATGGTGTTCCCCTCTATGCCGCAGCAGAAGCAGGACCCCAAGGAAAAAGCCAACTTCCCTCCATTCAGCTGACAGCCTAGAGACCACTGAACTCATGGGAGTGAGTCTAGCACAGCAGCCAAGGGCCCAAGATGGAGGCGGTCAAAGGCTAGGCCAGAGAAAAGGTGGATAGGAGTCCAGGATCCAAACCGTCTGGGTGGTATCACCAGGGGGGAGTCATGGGCTGAGGATTCTGCAGGTAGGACATCACCACAGCAGAGATCGACAACCTGAGACAGGAAAGAGATGTCAGTCCTAGAAGACAGGCATAGGACCCCTTCCCCTTACTCAGGATCCTCACATGAAGCTACTCATCATCTGCTTAGTGTCCTCCGAGCTCCGGGAGTTGGCAAAGCTGATGAAGGAGCAGTACACAGCGACCCAAGCACACCACTTGAGCTGAGAAAAGGTGGGTTCAAAGGGTTGAGTTGGTAAGAGGTATGCCAAAGAACCCCCACAGGCCACATTTCAAGATGTCAGACCCTGTCCCCAGGAAGTACCCAGGCTCACCCCTTCAGAGCCTACAGACAAGTAGCAGATTTCTGCTCCTGATGAGTGTGGGAATTGGGGAGGGTGCTGTATCTCTGACCCCTCCACACCCCCTCAGACTTAGACAGGCCTTAACATCCCCACATGGTAAGAACTCTGCTCTTTTTCCACGAGTTGTCTTTAAGTTGTTTAAAGCCAGGCTCCTCCCTCAGATCCATATACTATGTACTCGTCCCAACCGCAACCCCAATTTCCCGGACCGTGATGCCGGTGGTGCGGTCACCCCAGCTCAGCTCCCGCCAACCTCAGGCGCCGCCTCCTTCTGAACCCGCCCGGTTCTCAGGCGGAACACCCAAGGAAACTCCGCCCACCTTAAGCATGAGGCCGCACATGCTGAAGATCATGCCTAGCAGGTTCATGTAGTCCGGCGTCGGGTCGTCCAAGGCCGGGTTACACTCGCTCGGCGGGGGCTTATATCTGCAACAGGCTCAAGGGTCAGGGGCGATCAAGTCCTCCTGGACCGGTAAGCGCCACCCTCGGCCCGACCCACATCCACTACCCGAGACCCGTTGCCATGATGTTGAGCTGCTCACCTCAGCACTTTGTTGGGCCTCCTTGGGTCGGACATATTGTTCGTAGACATAGCGAACTGAAGACCTCGTCGCGCCTCTTCCGCGGCGAGAGTAGCAGCTTCCGGTACAAGAACGCGTGGTGGCTTTGTAACACCTGTATCCCTGGCACTTCCGTTCTCACTGGCAGAGTGCAGAACCACCCTCAGCCAGAAGACTGAGAATAAGTGAAGGTCAAAATTGCTCCTCCAGATTAGAAAGTGGGGGGCGGGGGGGCAGCTAACACCCTGAAAGGCGTCTTCAGTAATTCCAACACTGAAAATTTGAACACGGAAGTGAGAAACAGGAAGTAAGCCATGGGGGACAATAATAAGATTGCACCGATCGATCAGAAGTCAGTCTCGGTCCTGACTTGACACCGGAGACGAGAGCCTGCACATGAAGTATGGCTTTTCCTGAGCCCAGGCCGCAGGCCCCCGAGCTGCCGCAGAAACTGCTGAAGACTCTGGACTGTGGCCAAGGGGCGGTGCGAGCCGTGCGGTTTAATGGTGGGCGCCCTCCTCTGTATATCCCAAGCCCCGCGCCTCCTGAGGCGGGCGGCCCTGTAACCCCTGCCTGCTGTTCCCCAGTGGATGGCAACTACTGCCTGACGTGCGGCAGCGACAAGACCCTGAAGCTGTGGAACCCGCTACGGGGGACTCTGCTACGGACTTACAGCGGCCACGGTTACGAAGTTCTGGACGCGGCCAGGTTAGCCGCCAGGGGCCAGGCGAGAAAGGGAACTCCGAAGCAGAGCTAGGAAGGTGATACTAACCCTTCGCTTTCCTGCCCTTCAGCTCCATTGATAACAGCAGTCTCTGCTCTGGCGGCGGGGACAAGACGGTGGTGCTGTGGGATGTGGCTTCTGGACAGGTCGTGCGCAAATTTCGGGGCCACGCGGGAGTAAGTACAAACCAGAGGACTTTCATTAATGTGTACATTGTGGAAGAGACCCATATTAACGTGTAAGTAGTGCGAGGAAGATCTTTCCATTAGTCTTCCCCGTGTGTCCATTTCCCATGCCCAGGCAGTCACCAAACTCACCTTCCCTACCAGTAGCGTGTGCCCTTGCTTTAACCTACAACGGGAGCCCTGCCTTTGTCCCAAACCTCCAGTCTACCCTCTGAATTAGTAATTCCTGTTTCTCAGAAGGTGAACACCGTGCAGTTTAATGAAGAGGCCACAGTCATCCTGTCTGGTGAGTCAGGCCTGGACAGCGTAACCCAGTTGCTGCCCGACGATCCAAACCTGACCTCACCATCTTCTTGGCCTTACAGGCTCTATCGATTCCAGTATCCGATGCTGGGACTGCCGCTCTCGGAAGCCTGAGCCGGTTCAGAAGCTGGAAGAAGCCAGAGATGGCATTTCCAGCGTGAAAGTGTCAGACCATGAGATCCTGGCAGGGTGAGTTAGGTACAAGCCCTCACTCCTCTCCTGTTGACCCTGGAGATCATAGTGGCCTCTGTGTTTTGTTTTGTTTTTTAATATTTGTTTGGAACTGAACCCAGGTCCTCTGAAAGAGCACCCAGAGCTCTTAACCACTGAGCTTTCTCTTTAGCCCCATTTTGTTTTGTTTTGTTTTGTTTTGTTTTGCTAAGACTGAGCCTTGTGTAACCCAAGCAAATCTTGAAACCGCTGATCCTCTTGCTTTCCTCTCCCAAGTACTGGGATTTTAGAAGTGAACCACGATGCCTAGATCTGTTTTGTTTTGAGACAGGGTTTTACCAACTATCCCAGTGGGCTGAGCATAGAGGTTGGTTTGATTTGGTCTTTAAGATCTATTTTTTGCCGGCCGTGGTGGCCCTCGCCTTTAATCCCAGCACTCAGGAGGCAGAGGCAGGCGGATCTCTGTGAGTTCAAGGCCAGCCTGGTCTACATAGTGAATTCCACAACATCTGGGGCTACAGGGAGACCCTGTCTCAAAAAAAAATTTTTTTAAGATATATTTCTTTAATTATGTGTGGGGTGGGAATGTACACATCAATGTCAGTGGAGGCCAGAGGCATCAGCTCCCTTGGAGCTGGAGTTAAGGGGATTCTGAGCCAGCTGGTGCTGATGCTGACAACTGAACTCTCTGGTCCTATGCTAAAGCAGGAAGGCTTTTAACTGCTGAGCCACTGCAAACTGGAAAGGGCTAAAGAAAGCAAAAATAGAACAAAAAGCAGATTGGTCATTTCCAAGTCACTCCCTAGTACTAGAGACCTAGTTCAGGAACAGAGTGCCTGCAAGCACAGGGGCATGGGTTTGGTCCCCAGAACTCCACAAACAAAAAAAAGAATCGAAGTTACTCTCTAGGGCTGGGGATGTGACAGTGGTAGCATCATGGGTTCAATGCCTAGAATCAAAAACAAAAACAAGTAAAGTTACTTTATGATGGGCAGACTTAGTAAGAGAAAAATAACACTGCAGTCAGAGTGGGTAGTGTGTGCCTGAAATCTCAACTCTGGAGGCTGAGGCAAAGAAATGTGGAATTCAAGGCCAACAGGAAGATCGATAAACTAGACACACATACACACACACACACACACACACACGCACGCACGCACGCACGCACACAGTCTTTGAAAAGCAAAAACAAGGGGTTGGAGAGATGGTTCAGTGGCTAAGCATGCTTGTTGCTCTTGCAGAAAACCTAGGTTCAGTTCCCAGCACCCACATAAAATAATAAATCTAAAGAAAGATAACTGATTGCTTAATGTCAGATTACCTTTTCCATATAAGGATTAAGACAGAGGGAACTTGTTTAACATGCCCGTTGAAATTCACCCAGGAATCACAGTGTAGTTGGTAGTAAATCTCTTGCATAGCACCCTTCAGGCCTTGGGACTAGAGACATGGCTCTGAGGTTAAGCTGGATTGCTGCTCTTCCAGAGGACCAGTTTACTTTCTAGCACCCATATCTAGTGGCACGAAGTTCCGCTCCAGGGGATCCTCTATATTCTTCTGGTCTCCTCAGACACTGGCACACATGGCAGATACACCAACACACACATCAAATTAAAAATAAATTTAGGGGCTAGAGAGATGGCTCAGCAGTTAAGAACACTGGTTGTTCTTGCAGAAGACCTGGGTTTGAATCCCAGCACCCACATGGCAGCTAACAACTGTCCGTAACTCCAGTCCCAGGGGATCTGACCTCCGTGGGCACCGCCTCCATGGGTACTGCGTGACACGGGTGCACTTACGTACATGCAGGCAGTACACCACACACATAAAATAAAAATAAATTTTTTTTAAAGTTTAAAAAAAAATAAAAATAAATTTAAAGAATTTTGGTTTGTTTTTTGGGACAGGGTCTCCCTGTAACTCCAGTTGGTCTGGTACTAAATGTGTAGACCAGGGTGGCCTCAGTCTTAGAGATCTGCCTGCCTTTGCCTCCCAAGTGCTGGAATTAAAGGTATACGCCACCATGCCTAGCATTAAAAAAAAATTTTCACTTTTTTTCTTTTACTTATTTTTATATGTATGCATGTATTGCCTGCATGTATATATGTGCACCTATGTTGTGCAATGCCCAAAGAGGTCAGAAGAGGGTGTCAGATCCCCTGGAACTGAAATTATAGATGGTTGTTAGCTGCCATCTGGGTGTCGAAATTCAAACCCCAGTCCTCTGCAAGAGCAGTCAGTGCTCTTAACTGCTGAACCATCTCTGCAGCCCCATAAGAAAATATTTTTAAAAAGAAGAATCTGTGTTTTTTGGAAATTTGGTTCTTACCTCTTTTTCCCGATTTTTGGAATCAAATGACAGAGCTGGGAATGTGGCTTAGTACAGTGCTTGCCTAGGATGCAGGAAGCCTTGTGTTTGATCCTTAGCACTGAATAAACTAGATATGGTGGCTCATACCTTAATCTCAGCACTTGGGAAGTTGAAGGCAAAAAGATCAGGAGTTCAAAGTCCTCCTCAGCTACACAGTTTGAGGCTAACATAGGCTACAGGAAACCCTGTCTTTAAAAAAAAAAAAAAGCATGGTGGTGTATGCCTTTAATCCCAGCACTCCAGGCAGAGGCAGGCAGATCTTGAGATTGAGGCCAGCCTGGTCTACATAACAAGTTTCAGACCAGCTGGACCAGCTACTGGGGGACCCTGTCTCAAACAAACAACAACAAAAAAAAAAGATGAGGGATTGTTGGTGTAATAGTGAGCAGAGACTCAAAAGGACCAGAAGACAAAGATGAAGCTTTAAGAAGAGGATCTGAGACACATGGTCTACAGATGCAGATCCCTTATTCCTGACCATTTATTCAGTGCTAAAATAATGAATGAGTTGAATTCACAGGAAATACTGTGCCAAGACCACATAAGACACACAATAACAAGGTAAGGAATATAATGTACAGATGTTACCAGACAAGGCCACCTCAAAACTAAATTTATGTGTCAGAAAAAATATCTGCTTCCTGGAACAGCTTCAGCCCAGAGTGTTTACAAGAACTTAACATGTTTTAGGGGCTGGAGAGATGGCTCAGCAGTTTGATTCCCAGCACCTACATGGCAGTTAGCAACCATCTATAACTCCAGTTCTAGGGGATTTGATGCCCTCTTCTGATCTTTGTGGGCATTGCATGGCATAGGTGCACTTACATATATGCAAGCAATTTACTCATACACAGAAAATAAAATTAATATTTTTTTAAAAAGAACACATGCCAGGCATGGTGGCGCACGCCTTTAATCCCAACACTCAGGAGGCAGAGGCAGGTGGATCTCTGTGAGTTCAAGGCCAGCTTGGTCTACATACTGAGTTCAGGCCAGCTGGCACTACAGGGAGACCCTGTCTCAAAAAGACCAACAAAAAAGCAAAAAGAACACGTTTTCCCCAGAGGTTTGCCTTCTGGGTACACTGTTTACATTGATCACATAGTATTTTGTCCTTTCATTGAACATTTACTTTGGAAGTATGACATAAGCCATCAAGTTGTAAGATGTATTAACTCTTCATGAAGTGGCTTGTTACGTGTTGGCAAGATGGTTCAGTGAGTGGCACAGGCCACCAAGCCAACCTGAGTTTGACCCTAGGAAACCACATGATAGGAGAGAACTGATTCCTTAAAGTCATACTCTGACCCCAACATGAATGCATGTATATACACACACAAATAAATGTAAACTTTTTTTTCCTTTTTTTTTTTTTTTTTGGTCTTTTTGAGACAGGGTCTCCCTGTTGCCCCAGCTGTCCTAGAACTCACTATGTAGACCAGGCTGGCCTTGAACTCACAGAGATGCCTGCCTCTGCTTCCCAAGTGCTGGGATTAAAGGTATGCACCACCATGCCCGGCAAAACTTTTATATTTTTAAATTAAATTTGTGGATGTCCTGGAAGTCAGAAGACAACTTTTGGGGAGCCAGTTCCCTCTTTCTACTATATGGATCCCAGGGATTGAACTCGAGTCATCTAGCTCAAGGGCCCTTTACCCACTGAGCCATCATACTAGCCCAGCTTTTTTCTTGCCATTTCTGCCGCTGTGAACGTCAGGCAAGCTGGCCGTGGACTTTCCATGTGATTCTCTTGTTCTGCCTGTCATCTCCCCATAGGAGTACTGGGATTACAGACACATGCATCCAGCTTTTTTTGTGGGGGTTCCAGGGATCTAACTCTGGTCATCAGGCTAGTACAGCTAACATTTTTACCTGCTAAGCCATTCTCAAAGACTAGCTCAGTTAATTTCAATTTGGTGATAAGGAATGTTGGCATGGGTGACTACTTTTTCAGTCTGGTCTGCTGGAATCCCATTGGGGAGCTTAGTCCAAAACAAAGACCTGTGCTGGATAGTTACCACTTTATAACTCTCCTTAGACTGCATATGGTTACATAGTCTCATCCTTCAAGTCCCCCTTCTGGTGTTAGTACTTTAGGCCTTTCTAGATCTCCCTTGTTCAGCAAAGGTTACCTAATAGCAGAACTGTGCCTGGCTTGCAGCCTCTTGCAGTAAGAGAGCTGTAGTTTCCAGCATGTCCTGCTTAGCAGAACAGATGATCAATCCATAAATGTAACTAAGGCAGGTCTGGTGACCTTTGATCCCAGCAGGAGGATCAAGAGTTGGAGGCCAGCCTGGGTTTTATAGTGAGTTCTGTCTCAAAAAAGAAATGCAGCAGTGACAAATACTGAAAGAAGTGTCAAGCAAGTGTGAGAAGTCAACTTGGCTCCTTAGTGGCCACAGGGTTGGGGTGAAGTAGGGAAGGTTCAGTAAAAGCAGACTTGGGCGGAGAGGAGCCACCTAGTGGAGAAGTGGGGGAAGAGCAAGTACACAGCCTAGAGGGGATGCACTTCGCAGGTGCAGATGGAAGAGGCTGGAGGAATGGGTTCCAGACCCGAGCAGAGAGTAAGCAGGAGCAGAGACTGAAGGATTGCAGGAAGCACTGGACATTTGTCTTTCCTAGAGTAGTGGAAAGCCATGTTTCTTCAGGGGAGGGGTTGGCACATAGTGGCTATACTTTGAAAAGCTTCCTGGTGAGCCAGGTTTAAGGGGGTTGTAATCCTAGCACTTCAGTGGAGAATCATGAATTCAAGGACAATCTCGGTTATGTAGTGAGTATTGAGACCAACCTGGGCCACATGAAACCCTGTCTCAAAAGCTAAAGGATGGGGCTGGAGAGATGGCTCAGCAGTTAAGAACACTGACTTTTCTTACAGAAAACCCAGGTTCAAACCTCAGCACCCACATGGCAGCTAACAACTGTCTATAATAACTCTAGTCCCAGGGGATCCGACAGCCTCTTCTGACCTCCGCGGACATTGCACAACATGGGTGCACTTACCTACATGCAGGCAATACATGTATACACATAAAATAAATCAGGCGTAGCCAAAGACTCAAGAAATTGTCTTGGTATACTATAGTAAACTGATTTCAGGATCCCCAAGTGCAGCAAAGTCCTTGGCTGCTCAGTCCAATGTAAAATAGTGTCATGTTTAATAAAACCTGTGTATTCTGCCACTTTTTTTTTTCCTGTATTGAAGATGGAACTCAGCCTTGTGCATGCTAAGCAAGTGCCCTACCTTATAGCTATATCCCCAGCCTTTGGGTTTTTGTTTGGGGGAAAGAGGTCCCATGCAGCCCAGACTGGCTTCAAACTGGCTAAGTAATCAAGGATGACTTTGAACTTCTGATCCTCTTGCCTCACTTCCCAAGTGCTGGGATTCTAGGGTATGCCACCATGTCCACTCTCCCACATACTTTAAATGTTTTCCAGAGCCAGGCCTGGTGGCACAGGCCATAATCCCAGCTACTCAGAAGGCTGAGACAAGAAGATAAAAAGTTCAAGTCCTGCCTGAGCAACTTAGTAAGATCCAGTCTCAAAAACAAAAATAAAGGAAATATTAGGTCTGGTGAAATGGCCCAGTGGGTAAAGGCACTTGCCGCCAGGCCTGACAACCTTAGTTGGAAGAAGTCCAACTCCTAAAAATTGTCCTCAGACCTCCACACTTAATGAGCACACATGTATGCATGGAACACACATGCACACAATAAATGCAAAAATACTTTGAAAAAAGTAAATGAATTTTTTTTTCCCTAGTATGATTTTTTTTTCAGTTATTTGAGAATTTCAAACATGGATACAGTGTGGGGTTTTTGAGTTTGGGTTCTTTTTGGTTTGGGGTTTTTTTTGTTTTGTTGTTTGAGACTCACTGTGTAACAGGCTGGTCTCAATCTCAGCACTTAAGAGTAAAGGCATTTCCCAACATACCTGGCATGTTTTCTTTAATAACCCAGAGTCCAGTTTATGCTGCCATATATGCATAGGTGTAGAGCCATCTACTAGAGTGTGCTTGACTTACTAGAGGCCACGTTATTAAGGAAAACTGACTCTTCCTTCCCCAGTAGCCATCAGCTATCAATAGCTCCTCAGCTAGGGGTGGGGGCTGGTGAGCCCCTCAATGCTAGAATGTTGACTGGCTTGATCTTGTTCAAGTCTTGTGCAGGTCTTGTGGTTACAGCTGCAGTGCAGGTAGGGGCAGGGAACACAAGTAGGACCTGGCCCATGTTAAGCAGGCACTCCATAAGCTGTGAACCAGACCACTTACTCAAGTATTTCTGAGTAAAATACTCAAGTATTTCTGAGTCAAATACTCAAGTATTTCAGTCAAATCTGCAGATGCAGAACTCAGAAATAGCCAGGGTCACTGTGTTATGCCAATCAAGAGAGTATGGGAAAAGGTGGATCTGGCTGGGCATGGTGGCACACGCCTTTAATCCCAGCACTGGGGAGGCAGAGGCAGGCAGATCTTTGAGTTGTAGGCTAGCGTGGTCTACATAGTGAGTTCCAGGCCAGCTGGAGCTACTGGGAGACCCTGTCTCAAAAAAGACCAAAAAAAGAGGTGGATCTGGGGTGTGGCTGTTGAAAGATTCTGGAGTAGGACCAGATTGCCCCTGGGCCTGAGTCACAAAGCCGAAGAGCATCCCTGCCTTGCCCCATCACTCCTGGGTGGTCCAGAAAAGAAAAAGACATCAGCTGGACCTGCAGGCTGCAGTGCTTTAGGCCAAATGTACCCTCTTGTAGCTCCGTGGATGGCCGTGTGAGGCGCTATGACCTGAGGATGGGGCAACTATTCTCAGACTACATAGGCAGTGAGTATGGCCCGGGTCAGCAGGACAGGTGGTTGGGACAACCAGGAGCACCCAACTGCACCCACCTGCCATCCTCTTTACTCCAGGCCCTATCACTTGCACCTGCTTCAGCCGGGATGGACAGTGTACCCTGGTATCCAGCCTGGACTCCACCTTGCGGCTTCTAGATAAAGACACAGGAGAACTGCTGGGCGAGTGAGTCTCCACAGTCATGGACCCTCCCCACTCCCCTACTCCTGAGGCTAGGAGGATCCCCCCCAACCCATCCATCCTACTCATCCCTACCCCCAGGTACACGGGCCATAAGAACCAGCAGTATAAGCTGGACTGCTGCCTGAACGAGCGCGACACACACGTGATCAGCTGCTCTGAGAACGGGAAGGTGTTCTTCTGGGACCTGGTAGAGGTAAGCCCTCCTCTCCTACCCAACCCCAGGGTGTCAGATATGTATGTACTTACCAGTCACTCCCAGGCCTGGAAAGGGCAGTGAGGTCAAGCATTAAGGCTACAACTTTTATTTGGGGGTTTTCTTGAAATACAGTCTCATTTTGGCTTGAATTTATGGCATTCCTCCAGCCTCAGCCTCTCGAGCTAGGACTTGAAATGAGGAAAAAGCAGGAAGGACATTACAGGCAAGGGGATACCATGCTAAAGCTCAAATATGGCATACACAGTCAAGGATAGGACTTATTCACTGAGGCAGAGCCAAGAGACAACCAATAGCAGCAGAGCCTAGACTGGTGTCACTGAGGCCTGCCCTGCCTCTGAGCAGCAGCTTGGCTCTAAGCACCAAGCTCTGACATGCCGCAGCCTGATGGGAAAGTCAGACAGGGGATCATGGTTTAGAGAGGTCAGGGTTCTGGGGCCTCTGGAAAGGAAGCATCACCGCTAGGGCCTGGCGAGCAGAAATAAGTCCCTAAGAGGATGGAGGAAAGCAGGGGGCCCTGGAGACCAGACTTTAGAAACTAAGATGATAACAATGTTCTGTCAACTTTTGAGGCTCCTAGACTAGAATTTGCCTTGGAGGGCACATAAAGGAATATTCTCAAGGTAGAGAGACTATGGTTTAAGGAACTATAATGACCCAATCAAGTATCTCAGCTTGAGCCCAGACAGTGGCAAGGAACAGGGATGCTAAGGACAAGATATGCCTGGTGCAAGTGGTGGCCAAGAAAGCAGAACTTGTATCTGGACCATCTAGAGGCAGTACTAAGAGGGTTAGGTACAGCAGTGAATTTGTGCAGTCCTGCTTGGGAGGCTATGGCAGGACGATACTGTGTTCCAGTCCAGCTCGGGCTTACATAGTAAAACCCTGTCTCAACTGTAAAAAACAAAAGCCACATGTGTCTAATCCCAGTACTTGGGAGGCTGAAGGAGGGTTGCTGCAAGTTTGAGGCCAGCCTAGGCTACAGAGCAAGCTCTGGGCCAGCTGACTATAGAGGCCCTGTCTCAAAAAAAGAGGGGAGATGGAGGATGGGTAGGTGGAAGAAACTCCAAAGACATTTGGCCTGAGCACCTTCTGAAGGTCAGAGCTCTGGAGGGGTGCAGTTTGGGCAGGTGATACCTTCAATGTCTGAGAAGCCATTATAAGCAATGGTGGGGCACAGTGTTAGAGCATTTACTTGACTTGTACAAGGCCCGACATGTACAAGGCCCCAAATTCACCTCTAGCACCCAAAAAGAACAACTAGACTAGGAATGAATAACCAGTTGGAGTCATAAGGAAGACTGCGCCCAGGCCTTTCTGCATCCGGGATTAGGGGGTCTCTGAGCTGGGGCATGTGGCTCTGTGATAAAGGTTGTCTAGTATCCTCACCACCACCAATGAAAAAGAGGTCAGTGGCTGGAAGTCAGGAAGGGGGACAGCCTGGCTGCCACTAATTGCTCTCCACCATTCATTCCACAGGGTGCCCTGGTGCTGGCTCTGCCAGTGGGGTCTTCTGTGGTACAGTCACTGGCTTACCACCCCACAGAGCCCTGCCTACTGACTGCAATGGGGGGCAGTATCCAGTGTTGGCGAGAAGAGAAGGAGGGTGGAGCAGGCTGAGACCTCAGGGTGTGGCACCAGGCCCAAGGACTGAGACCAACTCGGAAGACCTAGTAGAGACTATTTATTCTAGAGACACTGCTAAGCAAGGAGTGGGCCCCAGGGGAGGGGCAGGGGGTATAAACTTAATACATAAAGGAGTACATGAGAACACCAGGCCTGGTCCCCATCTTCTTAGCCTTTGTTCTTCTCAGATGTGAAGGCATCTGCCTTCTGAGCGAAGGTTTCGGCCACAAGCAGAGGGAAGACCAGGGTAGCATCAGCATACACCTGCAGAGGACCTGGGTGAACCATGGGAACCATAGCCCCAGGACCCTATGCCCCACCCAGCCAGCTTCTACCTTGACTGGCTGTGCATCCATCCGGATCTTGCCCCAAGAGACAGCTTCATCTGGCCGGGCACCTGAATCCGAGCCATCAAACTCCTGGGCCGTGTTGATATAGACGGCATAGTCGGCCCCATTCCTCTGCAGACAAGGGGAGGGCCTGGTCAAGGAGGTATGACACCAGAGCCAAGGAGGCTGGGGGTATGTCCCAGAGGAAGGACGCTCTTGAGAGCTTCTAGGAAGAACCCATCAGTGTCTGTAGTTACAGGACAGATCTGTGCTTCCAGCCACCTACAATACAATACACTGTCCCTCCTGAAGCCAAAATACACAACTTCTGAGCATCTCCCATGACAGATCAGTTAAACCACAGACAAGTAAGAATAGTGTATCAAACTACTTTCAGGCTATATGCCATTCATGTCTAAATCCTGAACTCAGTTTCCTGGGTTCCTTTGCCAAAACATGCATGCAAATACATGCATGCAAATCAAGTGTTTGGTAAGGGGCATTCAGGCCAAATATGCTGACATAGGTCTGTGGTTCCAACTACCAGGGAAGCCAAAGCAATGGGATCATTGATCCAAGGAATTCAAGACCACCCTGGGCAATAGAGGAACCCTATCTCAAAAAATACAGGGGCTGGAGTTAAGCTTAGCAGTTAAGAGCACTGACTGCTCTTGCAGAGGACCTGGGTTCAGTTCCCAGCACCCACACAGTGGCTTACAACCATCCATAACTAGTTGTAGAGGATCCAACACCCTCTTCTGGCTTCCATGGGCACTGCACACATGGTGCACTTACACACATGCAGGCAAAGCACTCGTATACGTAAAAATAAAATATAGAGGACAGCTAAGCTGTAACCAACAATCCTCTGCTGAACCAGCCATCTGCAGAAGAACAAACCCACCTCTGTCTAGATCTAGGCACCACCCTGGGCCCCAGACTTAGCATAATCTCACCCCTCATCACTACCATCTATTCTACCCATAGCCACCAAGGGGCCCCTGGATGCACCTGAGGCCAGTCCTCACCTCAGAGCAAGCTTTAAAGTCTTTTTGCTGCACAGGCTCTGCAGTGTCGCTGCCAGGTCACCACTCCCACTCTCTGACCTCCAAGCTGTTCCTTGACTACTTAGGCACCTTCTCATACATAACCTCAAGACTTTTGGGAGGTATCCCTTGAAAATTTGCCTGCACTCAGGAGGTAGAGGCAGGTGGATCTCTGTGAGATCAAAGCCAGTCTGGTCTATATAATGAGTTAAGGCCAGCCAGGACTACAGGGAGACCCTATCTAAAAAACTAAATGCTAGGCATGGTGGTGCATGCCTTTAATCCCAGCACTCAGGAAGCAGAGGCAGGCAGATCTCTGAGTTCAAGGCCAACCTGGTCTACATACTGAGTTCCAGGCCAGCTGGGGCTATAGGGAGACCCTGTCTCAAAAAAAGACTAAAAAAAGTTGTTCACAGGTGACATTTCCCAGAAGCTATTTCCTTTATTAAAGAGCACCCCTGTTGGGGACTCCTGCTGTTTTGGGTTGTAGTCTTTCCATGTCCAGATAGCCGCATGTTGGCTCGGCGTGAATGGAAGGACTCCTCAGCAGGGCACCCCCCTACTCTCTTCCTGACTCATCTTTGAAGTAGCCATCACAGATACATGGCCTCTGGCATAGGAACTGCCACGTTTTCCTGTGTGATAATCAGGCAATGTCTGGCAGCCTGGTGGAAGCCCACCACCACATGTAAATAGGGCATCCTAAAAGCACCTATCAACTAAGGCTTTTGCCACTTCCCCCACAGTATAAATATCCTGGTTTCCCCTTAATAAATCAGAGTTGCATCAGAAGCTGTGTCTAAAGCTGTATCATTGAATCCTGCATCTCCCCGGAGAGGGCTGTCTCTTCATAAACCACGACTCACGGAGAATCTGCTTTTGCCGTTCTTGCACTTCCCACGAGATCCGGCGGCTGGCGGATGTCGTACCTCGAGTTGGAATGGAACCCGCCCGGGCAGCTGACAGCGGTCCTCTAGAGCCGCCAGCCCCGGTAGCAGAGAGCCTCAGCAATGGAGAGCCAGGGACCCAAACAGCAGACGCGGTGGAGACCGGTGCCACGCCCAGCAGCTGGTGCTCCGAGATCCCTGCGAGCCCATACACCCCTCTCTTCTCATTTCAGCATCTGAGTTCCAGGCTGGCCCTGAAGTGGGCCCCAGTTGTCCTCCTACCTCAGTCTCCCAAGTAGCTGGGACTACAGCCACCTTATTCACATCCTTAGTATTACTGCCACACAACATGCATGTCACTCAGTGCTGTTTGCCCCACTCAACATTCCAAAGAGGACAGGGATTCTGGCCCATCTAGTCCACAGCTGTGGCCCAGGCCCAGCACACTATGTGTCTGCACAGAGGGCAAGAGTGGCCTACCAGGGGCCACCCCACTCACCATGAGGTTAGCATTGGCAATGTGGTGCTTGACCATGCCTCCACCCAGGATGATCATCCCAGAGCACTTGGCAAAGATGGCCTGCATGTTGATGAACCGCAGGTCTGGAAGAGAGGGTTGCCATCAGGCCTTGGTCTCAGTGGCCCTCCTCCCACTTCTCCCAAGGCCTCAGCACCTCACCCTCAACGATGTCAAGGACCAAGCCAGGGTTCTTGTAGGAATGGAAGAAGATCATGTCGCCCAAGGAGCCATCCGTGAGTGCAGGGCTCAGCACAGGAATATTGTTCTGGTGTGGAAACAGGATCAGTCAGCAGCTGCAGGTCAGAGCCCAAAGACAACACTCTGGTCCCCAACCCAGTGGCACCTCTCCCTCCCTGCCTATGAGCAGGCTGTTAGGTTTCTCTAGTGACAACAACCCCCTGCTTCATAGATGTGAAGGCAGATGTAAGGAGAACCATACCATGACTCTAAGAAGATGCCTGGCATGGTGAGCAATGGTTCATTATTTTTCAAATTCTTGGGCTCCACAGTCCCTGGGGGAGAATGGTACCCAGGGAGTTGCTAAACACTGTGCCCAAGTGGGCCCAATAGTGCAGGGGCATAGCTAAAATACCAGGACCCTTCATTCATTAGGCATATTACCTAACCTCTCTGATGCTCCTGATCTAAGTTTGGAGAGAATAAGTACAATTTATAGTGACTCCCAGGTGGCTGCAAAGACAAAATGACCTGGCACATGCCAAAGCCTAGGAACAGTGAACCCACCCAAACCTCACCTTCTGGGCCCAATAATACACTGACTCTGGGTTGTTGATCTCCTTGCCAAGCCTGGCAATCATCTTGGAAGGTGTCCACTTGACATGCTAAGAGAAGGGACATCAGTGTTAGCCCATTCATGCTCTGACCCTGCCACACAGGTCCTCCTGAGCCTCTCCAGCCCCACCTTGGTGTTCTGCTCCAGCACCATCTGGTCCAGAATGGGCATCAGCCAGTCCTCAAACTTGCAGTAATTGTCATTGGGCACCAGCAGGTTCCCTATCCTAGGGATGGGAGGCACACAAGCATCAGTCCCCAGATCGTTCAATCCAGCTCCCCTGGCCTCCACACCACACAGGGCCCACCTGTTAATCCCATTCTCCCGGAGCTCCTTCCCCTTGAGGCTGAACTCCCCAAGGTATGTGGGTGCCAAGCACTTGATGAAGTCTTCCTCTACACCTCCAGCAGTGGTCACCAATACGTCCACCTAAAGTCATGGACAACAGGTTGGCCCTTATTCTGGGCAACACACCTAATATCAGCCCTTATCTAGACCCAAAGCAGGAACTCTGCAACAAAAATCAATTCAACTCTGTCCTGCTTAAAGCAATTCCATAGCAGGGGATGGTGGTACATTCCTGTGATCCCAGCACTCAGAAGGCTGAGGCAGGTGAACTGCCAGCCTGTCCAAAAATAAAAATAAATCCTCTACTGGTCTCCCTTAAATGAACAATAATTGTACTGTCCACTAGCCCAGGTACGCTGAGGTCACAGCCCCATGGGGGCCCCACCATATTGTGCTGCACGAGGTAGCGAATGGTCTCCCGGAGGCCGGAACTGATGAGGTTGGATGTGTAGCCTAGGAAAATAGTGCAGCCCGTGAGTGGCCGGCTGCTCTGTGTCAGGTCTGCGTGCTGGTCTTCATCCTCTGCTAGCGGCTCCAGTTTCTTCTCAATCTGGGTGTGAGAGCAAGGTCAAGTTGAGCTCAAATTTCAAACCCCAGTCCAAGAGCCCCAGGTGAGTGTCAGGGTCCGATGATTGACTCAGGGGTACTGGACTACTTCTGCAAAGCCAGGGCACGTCCCCTACATGTACCGTCCTACCCCCACCCCCCATTCCCAGTGCAGGTCTCCTCACATATCAGAGTTTGCTCCCTTTTAGGAATCACAGAGTATCTTCCTTTCAAATCCCCTTTCCCTCTAGGAAAAACAAATCCAAGACTGGTCCCGACTTAAGCTCCTCCTACAATGTCCCCCTTTTAACTCCTCAAGCCAGAGCACTTTAAACCAGGAACCCGCCGCATCCCCAAACTAGAGGCATCCCCTGCACAGAAACCCTGGAGCGAAGGATGGCCTCTTCCCCTCTACAGCTATTGGGCCGTCCCCAGGAAGTCCCGCCCCAGGCCTCACCATGGCGTTGACTTGCTGCACCGCCCGCCCAAAGTTGGTGGCCTGGAAGCCCGTGGTACCGAAGGCCTCCAGAAGTGCGCGGTAATCCACCCCACGGCTGAAGTCGTAACCCCGAACCCGGGCGCTCTCCAGCGGCAACTCGGAGCTGTGCTTGAGCACCGCGGCCAGTGCTACAGCGGGTGCAGCCCCCTGCGAGTTCCCGGGAGAGGCCCCCTGCAAGGCTCTCTCCGTGGCCCCCTCCATGCGCCGGTGTTTGGGCGCTCAGGTCGCAGCCACGAGGGTCGGGGCCACGGCAGCCCCGGAACCGCTGAACCCCGACACGCGGGCCTATGCCGGAGCACAGGAAGAGAGACTCAGGAAAGCCTGGGGACGAAGCCGGAAGCCGGTTGGTCACGTGACCCTGGTAGACCCAGCAGAGCTGAGCTGCTACTTTGTTCTACAGAAGGGACGAAGAGCGGTCATTCCCTGTAGCGTGCTCAGCTTCATAAGAATGGAAGTACCTGTTGGAATGCCGCTTGCCCACGTGTTCCTGTCCCCTAGGAACGAAAGGATTGTTGTAAATGTAGCCCTTTGACAGGATTCAGGGCATCAGCCATGTCAGCTGCAGTCCTCGGAGATTCTCATTATATGGGATAGTAGCTCCTTTTAATGCCTCTCAGAGCCTCCACATACTTCCTTGCCCTCTGTTTATTCCTCCTGCAGCTGCACGTGCAGCTGTCACCTGCCATTGAAGGTTATGGGCCTCCTCTGGGAGGCAGGGCTGGCGGCCATCTTTTTTCCCCCAAGACTTGGGATTGGAGAGATGGCTTAAAGGTTAAGAGCTGCTCTTGCAGAGGACCTGGGTTCGAGTCCCAGCACCCACGTGACGGCTAACAACTGTAACTCCAGTTCCTGGGGAATCCGATGCCTCTGACCTCCGCAGGCACTGCATGCAGTGGGTGCACTTAACACACATGCAGGCAATACAATCATACGCATAAAAATAACAAATTAGCACCAGGTGTGGTGGGGCAAGCCTTTAGTCCCAGCATTCCGGAGGTAGAGGCAGGTCTCTGAGTTCGAGGCCAGCCTGGTCTACATAGTGAATTCCAGGTCAGTTAGGGCTACAGGGATACCCTGTCTCAGACAAATAGTAATAATAATAATTTTTTAATTAAACCAAAAAAATTAAAATGCTGAAAACTAGAGACAGGTGTACTACCACACCTGTAATTCCAGCAATTGAGGATGCTAGGGATGTTGAGGCAGGAGGATTGCCAGGAGAGTTACGACAATACCGGGCCAACCAGGGCTATATAACAAGACTCCACTAAAAAAAGACTGTGTGTATGAATGTTATGCCTGCATGTAGTGCACCCGTGTAGTTCTATAACTATGAGGGGCAGAAAAGGGAGTCAGATCCCCTAGATGGTTGTTAGCCACCATATGGGTGCTGGAAATCAAACCCAGGTCTTCTACAAAAGCATTTTGCTAAGCCAGATGACTCAGTACTCCATTTAAAAATAAAACAGGGGGGCTGGAGAGATGGCTCAGCTATTAACACTGGTTCTCGAACAAGACCTGGGTTTGAATCCCAGGACCCACACGGCAGCTAACAACTGTCTGTAACTCCAGTACCAGGGGATCCAACAACCTCTTTTGACCTCCCAAGAGCATTGCACAACACGGGTGCACTTACCTATGTGCAGGCAATACACCCATATGCATAAAAATAAATAAAGTTTAAAAAAATAAAACATAGGGGCCAGTAAGATGGTGAACGCACTTGCTGCCAAGCCTGACAACCTGAGTTTGGTCGCTAGGACCCACATGGTGGAAGGAGACAACCAACTCCCACAAGATGTCCTCTGACCTCCACATGTGCAGCAGGACATTTCATATACACTTGCACTAATATACAAACAAATAAATGTAATTTATAAATAAATTCAATTTAAAAAAAGGTGTTGGGACTGGAGAGATAGCTCAGCAGTTAAGAGCACTGACTGCTCTTGCAGAGGACCTGGGTTAGGTTCCCAGCACCCACATAGCAGCTAACACCATCCATAACTCCAGTTCCAGAGGATCTGATGCCCTTCTTTTTCCAGTTCATGGGCATTGCACATGTGGTGCCCTCACACGAAAGCAAAACACATAATTTTTTAAACATTTTATTATTTTAAGTGTATGAGTGTTATGCCTGAGTGTAGGTAAATGCACCCCTGTCGTGCAATGCCAGCGGAAGTCAGAAGAGGCTATCGGATCCCCTGGAATTGGAGTTATGGACGGTTGTCAGCTGCCACGTGGATGCTGGGATTCAAACACCTGTCTTCTGAACAGTCAGTGTTCTGAACCTCTAAGCTATCTCTCCAGCCCAAAACATAATTTCTTCAAAAAATAAGATATGTTGGGAGGCAGAGGCAGGTAAATCTCTGTGAGTTCAAGGCCAGCCTGGTCTACTACATAGCAAGTTCAGGCCAGCTGGGGCTACAGAGAGTCCCTGTCTCAAAAAGGCCTGAAAAAATTATATATGCCGAAGCTCTAACTCATAGAACCTCAGATTATTGCTGCATTGAAGATGGAACCTCAAAAGAGGTAATAAAGTTATTACCATTAGATGAATTCTTTAGGGTGAGTCCGAATCCAATTAAACTATCGTCTTTATAAGAAATTCAGGGGGCGGGGCTGGAGAGATGGCTCAGCGGTTGAGGGCACTGACTGCTCTTGCAGAGGACCTGGGTTCAATCTCCAGCACCCACACAACGGCTACGAACCGACCTTAACTCCAGTTCCAGGGGAATCCGAAGCCCTCTTCTGACGTCCGCGGCACTGCACGACACGAGTACACTCACATACATGCAGGCAATACACTCATACACATAAAATTTTAAAAAAAATTTAAAAAGAAGAAAAATTCAGGGGAGAGACGCCCGGAGGCCAGGGGGCGGAGCCTTGCTCGGTGCGGCGCCTTCAGCGGCCCCGCCCCGCCTCTCCCGCCATCCTCGTCACCGCGCTGGACTGAGTAGATCCATGGTAGCCGCCGCTCCGCGTGGCGGGTTTAAGGGCAGTGTGGGGCCTTGGCCGGGGTCGGCGGTAGTGAGGCCAGCACCGCGCTCCAACCCCCTTTTCCCTCCATGGTTTCCGCTCCCGAATAACTTGGCTGCGGGGTCTACGCATGCCGCACGCCAACCCGGACCGCGCAGCTCACCCGCCGCCAGCCGCCTCTTTCCGATGGCCTGAGTCGGGTCGCCTCTCCCCGACTCCGCCCCCGCCACGCAAAGTTAAGTTTGAAGAGGGGGGACGAAGGGAACATGGACATGAAGAAGAGGATCCACCTGGAGCTGAAGAACCGGACCCCGGCAGCTGTTGGAGAACTTGGACCAACTGCAAATCAAATGATGGACGAATTGAGGGGTTAACGGCTGAATTTGTGAACTTAGAGTTCCTCAATTTAATAAGTGTAGGCTTGATTTCAGTTTCAAATCTCCCCAAGTTACCTAAATTGAAAAAGCTTGAGCTCAGTTGATAATAGAATCTTTGGAGGGCTGGACATACTAGCAGTACTTCCAAATCTCACACATCTAAACCTAAGTGGAAATAAACTGAAAGACATCAGCACCTTAGAACCTTTGAAAAAGTTGGATTGTCTGAAAAGCCTGGATCTGTTTAACTGTGATTACCGAGAATGATTACCGAGAGAGTATCTTCAAGCTCCTGCCTCAGCTGACCTACCTGTGAAACTATGACTGAGAGGATCAGGAAGCCTCTGACTCAGATGCAGAGGTGGATGGTGTGGATGAAGAGGAGGAGGATGAAGAAGAAGATGAGGATGGTGAGGAGTTTGATGAAAAAGAGGATGAAAATGTAGAAGATGACAAAGATGAAGTCAGTGGGGAGGAGGAAGAATTTAGACATGATGGAGAAATTGATGAAGATGAGGATGAAGAGGAGGAAGAAATCGGGAAAGGTGAAAAGAGAGAGAAACAGACTATTAAGACCCCAAACAACCTGCAGAAACAAAACTGTTCAGTATTGGTTGCACTGCTCATGGATTTGGTAGCTGTTTTTGTTTTGTTTTGTTTTGTTTTTTTAAGGTAGCTGTGATACAAACCCCAGGACACCCACCCACCCAAAGAGCCAAAGAATAGTTCCTATGGCATGCCACCTTCTTCCACTTAGTCCCTTTTGGTACTCCACCACCAAGAAAAGTGTAAGCGTTGTTAGGTTTTCCTATACATAGCCTGGATAGCTATGATTGGTGAATCAACTGTCCATGGCTACCAGTTACACTGAGATTGTAACAACATTTTTTAGCTGGGCGTGGTGGTGCATGCCTTTAATCCCAGAACTCGGGAGGCAGAAGCAGGCAGATCTCTATGAGTTCAAGGCCAGCCTGGTCTGGTCTACATGGTGAGTTCCAGGACAGCGGGGGTTAAAGGGAGACCCTGTCTCAAAAAAAAAAAAAAAAAAAAAAAAACAGAAAGAAAGAAAAGAAAAATTCAGGATTGTCTTGTTTTTGAGGCAGGATCTTTCTTAGTAACCCAGGCTGGCTATAAATTCTAAGCTGTCATGAGTGAAGAGGAAATTTGATCTGTTGGATATTCATCTAAGAATACCAACACCACCAAAAGAGTGATTCCACCCAAGTCCAGCTTGGTGAACCAATGAGTTTATTAGGGTTACTCAGAGATCATAGATGAGGAGTTACAAGACAGTAGGTGACTCCTAAACATCCACATCACCAAAAACTCACCCAGCATGGAGAGAACATCCCAAAACTGCATAGACAAGAGGTTAACCTTCAGTTAACCTCCCACCTCCTCTATATTCTAGCACTTCCTGAGACCACATAGGGCTAGGGCAAAACTGCATACATTTGGGAGAGAGGTGCAGGAGGGCAAAGAGGCTTGAATCCCAGGTGACAGTCCGATAACCCTTCCCAACCCCTTCTCTATTTGAGAACAGGCTTAATTGAGGGGCTCTTGTACATAGCCACAGCTGCTCTGATTAAGATTGTAATGGCTAGGGGCTGGAAAGATGGCTCAGCGGTTTAAGAACACTGATTGTTCTTGCAGAAGACCCGGGTTCGAATCCAGCACCCACATGGCAGCTAACAACTGTCCCTAACTCCAGTTACAGGGGATCAGATGGCTTCTTCTGTCCTCTGTGGGCATTGCACGACGTGGGTGCACTTACCTACATGCAGGCAATACACACACATTAAAAAAAATTTTTTTTTAAAACTATTGTAATGGCTGTTATGTTCAGATAAACACACAGAACCACCAGAGATATGCACATACAAAGACCATGTGAGGACATAGAAGTTGACCTCAGGATCAGCAAAATGATGACAACTCAATGGGTAAAGGCCACAAGGTCTTAACAATCTGAGTTCATTCCCTACAACCCATGCAGTAAAAGGAGAGAACCAACTCCTGAAGTTGTCCAAAGTTATGTTCTGACCTCCACATGCTCGAAGCAACATGCACACCCTGCCCCCGAATAAGTGCCATTTTAAAATTTTCTCTTTGTATGTACGTGTTTTGCCTGCATGTGTGCAAGTACAGTATATGTGTACTATGCCCACAGAGGCCAGAAAAGGATGTCACATCCCCTAGAACTGGAGTTAAGGACAGTTATTAGTCACCATGTGTGTGCTGGGAACCAAAACTGGGTCTTCTGCAAGAGAAGCTAGTCTTCTTAAGCCCTGAGCCATCTCTCCAGCCCCAGAACTTCAAAAAAGATAGAGGAGGAGGAAGAAGACATATATAAGACAAGGAGAAAAGGCTTGGGAGAAACCAAACACCAGCACCTTGTCCTCAGACTTTAGCCTCTAGCCAACAATTCCTGTTGTTTACACCATTCAGTCCATAATATTTTGTTATGCAGCTCAACCAAACTAATACATTACTGAAGGGAGGGAAGGAGAGAGGGAACAAATAGTGTCAGGGTACTCCCTGAGGAATAAAGGGGAAAGGGTGGTAAGCAGATGTGGTGGGAGTACCCAGAGCTCCAACTGCGGCACAGGGATGGCTACAGCCTAGAAATGCCATACCACTCTAGATGACATAACATAAAGAAACATAAAGAAACTCCAAGAGGCAGACCTGCAGCAGCACCCTGTGGGTTGTGCTAAAGATGGGTTTACTGAGAGGAGCTGCAAAAAAAGTGGACAGGGGTTTCTTGGGTCCCTTAACAAGGTCCTTATGTGTAGCCCAGGCTAGTCTCTTAACTCCTAGAATCCAGCAATCTATCTTCCTACCTCAGCCTCTAGAGTAGCTTGAAAACTACCTGGTGCCAACCATGCTGACTGACAATTTTTTTGTGAAACAGGGTCTTACTATGTAGTCCAAGCTGCCCTCAAACTTGTGATCCTCCTGCCTCAGCCATGAGATGAGGCAGGGCAAGGAAAGGCTGTTAACTGACATGTACAGACTGCATGAGTCCAGGTATTGGGGGAAGGGTGGAGGGAGGCAGGTGGCATGACCAGGTGGAGCAGGGATTAGACTGAGAACTTTACTTGGCACCTGAGATCTGGTTAGATTATAAGGCACCAGAGAAATGATGGCCTTGGAGATGTGTGCCAGAGGTGCCAGAGCTGGTGGACAGAGACAGGGCAGGCAGGGCTGGGGGTGAACATGGTGAGAGGTGTGTGAGACACAAGGAGTAATGGTGGGCATGGCAGCTTACACCTGTAGTTCTAGAACTTGGAAGGTGGAAACAGGAGATCAAGATCAGCCTAGGCTACATTCATGATCAAGATCAGCCTAGGCTACATTCATAGTCAGTTTGAGGACAGCCTGGGCTACATAAGACCCCACCTCAAGAAGTCTTAGAAAAAAAAAGGGGGGGGCTGGGTGTGGTCACACACATGTTTAATCCCAGCACTTGGGAGACAAAGGCAGGTGAATCTCTGAGTTTGAGGCCAGCCTGGTCTACATAGTGAATTGCAGTCCAGGCAAGACTGCATAGTGAGACTGTCTCAAAAAAGACAAAAAAAAAAAAGTCTGGAGAGATGGTATAGCACTTAAGAGCACTGACTGCCCTTGCAGAGGACCTAATCGTCCATAACTCCAGTCCCAGGGGATCTGACGCTCTCTACTGCCCTCCATGGGAATTGCACGACATGGGTGCATTTACACACATGCAGGCAATACACTCATACACCTAAAATAAAAACAAAATAATTTTTAAAAAAGAAAAGAGGGAGTCTTGAATCTGGAGCTTGGGGAAGAGCTAAGCTAGGGCACACACAGTATGTCAGGGGTAGCAGAGACAGGAAGGGAGGATCTGTTGGGGATAATCAGCAAGGGATCCAGCAGGTTAGAGGGGCCTACCTCCCTCAGGCCTGCAGCCAAGCTGCTTAACCCCCCCAGGGGACCCAGGGGACATGTGACACCAGGACAGCCAGTGGGCCTCCTGGAACAGGGACCCCCTCTGTCACAGCAGCTGCTGCGGTTGCTGCTGGTGACATTTTGCTGAGTCCTGTCTTCAAAGTCCCTGCAGGGGTGGAGGAGGGGGTTGGAAAGGCCAGGCCTAGATCAGGAAGGGAACCAGAGTGGCTGGCTGAGGCTGGAGCAGACAGTCAGGCGTGTTCAGGAGTCCTGACCTGAGGTACCTGAACCTGAGGAAACCAGGAACAGACAGGGACCTGGGAGGAGAAACAGAAGCTCTGGGAGGTTTAGGCTTGCTTACAGCCCTACCCACTTTTCCCAGATGTCATCCAGCAAGGTAGCCATTGGCAGTGACATTGGACAGGCCCGCCGGACAGTGGAGCAACTGCGGATGGAAGCAGGCATCGACCGTGTGAAGGTGAGGGGTGGGGTGGGCCTGGGGTGGGCATAGCTGGGCAAGGGAGCAGATGGACACCTGGGCCTGGCTGACCAGGTTGGTCTGCAGGTATCCAAGGCAGCCACGGATCTGCTACAGTTCTGCATGGAGCAGGCCAAGAGTGACCCCTTTCTCGTGGGCATCCCAGCTGCCACCAACCCTTTCAAGGAGAAGAAGCCCTGTGTTATCTTATGAACCTACAACACCACCTCCAGGACCCTGGACCCCCCCCCCCGGGGGGGTGCTCAATAAACATAAAGTGATTGTTCTTGGGGTACTTGAGTGTGCTGAAGTGGGACACCTAGGGGTTCTGTGGTCTTGTGGGGGCAGTACACACCTGGCCAGGACTCCCTCTCTGCCCACCTCCAGGGGTCACAGCAGCAGCAGTGTCTGCTCACCTGGAACCCTGGGAGGCCTGCATCTCCACTGACCCACATACACATACCTGCAAGGTAGCTGGAGCAGATGCCTACTTGCTCCATATTTTTTGGGGTTCCAGTCAGAATCTACATGCCACACAGCCCATAAGCATCTCACCAGGTTACTTCAGACACTGATGCCCACAGTCTTTGGGGCTGGAGTTCACAGGCACACATACAGCAGCATGCACCCCAGCTCTGGCATGCCAACCGTTCCTGCTCACTTAGTCACATGCACACTGACAGTACCCCAGTCCCAGGGAGGCACAAGCACATGGCCACAGGAAGTTCACAGTCCAGGCTCAAGAGCTGCACAATAGGTTTATTTCTCCTTCACTCTTGTCTGGAAAGGGGCACCAAAATTCCAAAACCTAACAAACAGGCACATGCCTGTAATTCCAGCGCTTGGGAGATGGAGGCAGGAGGATCAGAAATTCAAGGCCAGCCTCAGCTACATAGTATGTATGAGGCCAGCCCTTAGTTACATGAGACCCCGCCTTAAGAAAACAAAAGAAGAAACAAGAAACAAAACATGACAACCTGGGGCTGGAATATAGGAACAGCCCCTGGGTAGGCCAGAACTGCAATATCGCCCACAGGCACAGGTGTGATCCCAGCCCTAGGGGCCCTGCCTGGCTGTGCCAGGGGCTTCCTGTGCCTCAGGCCTGTGGGGCCAGACAGAAGCAGCACCAACAGTGGGCAGGTCCCCGAGAGCAGAGGCTAAGGCCCAGCCTCAGCCAGCAGTATATGCCAACATCCACAGCCATGTCCACCTGCTCAGGCCAGCAGCCTCCAGACCTCCAATGACAGGCCCCCAGAGGCAGCCACCACCACATTGCCCTCAGCACAGATCTAGGGAGCAGGAGTATAGAATCAGGAGATGGCACAGGTTCTGGGCAGACTGGCAGGCTGTATGGGGCAGGACCTTACCCCATTCAGCACATTGTGGTGGCTTCTGGTACAGATGGTTCTTGGTGGGTCTGTGGGCACATGCACCTGAGAGGACAAAGGACAGAGGTCAGGATGTGTGCCCTAGCTGGTGGGGGTCTACATGGGTCACTGCTCTCACCCGGATGGTTTTGTCAGTGGATGTGGTGTACAAAGTCCCCAGCGAGTGTTTGATCCCTGTGATCTGAGACTGGTGGCCCACGTCAAAGGACTGAAGGAGAGATGGTTGACACTCAGGTGGGGTTCTCCCATGGCCTGCCCCCCCCATCCCACAAGTCAAAGGGGAGACACAATCAGGGGCCCTAGCAGACCCGGACAAGCTGGAAGCTGCCATCCCGGTTGGCAAACACGTGCAACAGGCCTTGGTTATCACCCGCCCAGAGCTGGGGCTCCTGGTAGGACATGCAGAGCAGATAGGAATCCAGCTGTGGGAAGGACAAGGAATGGAACAGCTCAGGAGAGACAAACTGGGCTATGGCCAGCCCTGGGCCCCAGGGGAAGGCTCCCACCTGTAGTCGCTGCAGTACACTGTTGGTGCGGCGATCGAACACCACAAGACTGTGGTCCTCGCTGCCTGAGATGATATGCCTGTCGTCTGCCAGCACCGCCAGCACAGCACTTGAGTGCAGCCTTCGACTCTTCACCAGGGCCAGGCCAGCTTGGGATTATGTGCCAGGAAAGGTGGGGAACATTAGACCCCTTAAGAGACCTAGACCCACCTGAGGATTTGGGCCACCATTCCCCTGGAGAAACCTTCAACTTGCTTAGCCTACCAACTGACCCTCACCTCTTCTCTGCTCTCCTGTCCCACCTATACTGGGGACCCAGGCCCCTGTCCCCCTTTGTTTCCTGTCCTTACACCACATTCCTCCTCCAACCCCACTAGGTTCTCTCAGTACAGAGCCAAGCACCTCATCCCATCCCAGGCTCTAGGCCATAGACTCCATTCTAGCACTCAGTGGGAAAAATAATCAATAGGCAGCCCTCATGGTACAGGCCTGTAAACCCAGGTACTCGGGACCCTGGAGTAAGAATTGGAGGCCAAGACTAGAAATGGCTCGGGCAGTGTGTGTTGTGGGGGAGCAGTGAATGTTGGAGGCCAGCCTGAGCTACAGAATGAGTTCAATGCCACCCTGGGCAACTTAGTGAGACCCTGTCTCAATACAAAAAAATAAAAAGGCTGGGGATATAGTTCAGGAGCAGAGAACTGGCCTAGCAGAGCAAGGCGCCAGGTTCAATCCCCAGAACAACAACAAATCAACCAACCACAAAACTACAGAAAAGACGTGTGTCACGCAGTACAAGAAGGCTTGTGTCGCCCACCAATGTTTGTTTACTGTTTTAAGAGGGTCTCATGTAGCTCAGGCTATCCCTGAACACCTCATGTAGCTGAGGATGCTCTTGAACTTCTTCCTGCTTCTACCTCTGGACTGCTGTGATTACAGGCCTGCACTACCGCACCTGGCTTATATAGCACTGAGAATCTATGCGAGGCAAGCACTCTGCCAATTGAGCTATATCCCCAGCCCTCCACTAATGTTCTAATAATCATCCCTCACATGAGCCCCAGGGGACTGGTAGCATATGGTGGCTGGAGCTTTGTGTGTGTGCATGTGCTAGAGATGGATCCCAGGCCTCATACATGCCAAGCATATACTCTAGCACAGAGCTCTACCCAGTCCATGATTTGAATTTCACAGATGGGGAAACTGAGGTTTAGGCTTGCCTATCATCAAACAGCTAAGAACTAGGGGCTGTTGGGATCAGCACCTCGGTAGGAGACTGTCACCCCAATCAAGCAACTCAGGCAACTGAGACTGTCACCCCAGGCAACTCTTCTTTCACTACCTGGGCTCTAGGACCCCAGCCCACCTCTGGGATCGTAGATGGTCACCTTCTTGTCATAGGTGCCAGTCACCAGGATGTCAGGCTGGTAGGAGAGGCATAGCACAGCCGCCTTGCCCCTGGGGACACATAGCATACAGGGCTGGGGTGATGGCTGGGCAGGGCCCTACCCACCCAAGCCCCCTGCCCAGGCCCCCTCACACTTGATCTCGCCGAACTGCTGCCCATCAGCTGCCATGTCCCACAGCTTCACAGTGCTGTCCCAAGAACCGGAGCACACTCGATAGTCCTGAGCTGCTAGCGACCACACCCAGCCCTGCAGGACAGGGAGAGCAGTCACATACTCACCTCAGGGGCTGTTCAGCAGCTCAGGGTTCCCTCCTGCTCAAGCCACAAGGAAAGCTGTGACTTTCCTATTTTTGAGGATGAGGCTTAGAGAGATTAATAGGCTCATTCAAAGCCAAACAGCTTTTCCTCCCTCACATCCACTTCCCCGGACACTGCAGTAAAATTTCCAGCTCCATGTAATCATCCACCGATGACAAAAATCAAAGATCAGTGGGAGGTGGGAAACAAAGACCAAAGAACCCACAGCAAATTCAAACATGTGCAAGGGCTTTGGGGTCTGTAGACCTGTCTGCAGTCAGATACAATCTATTCAGTCTGTCTGTCTGTCCATCCATCTCTCAGTGCTGGGGATAACACCCAGTGCCTCAACACATGCTAGTCAAGCTCTCTGCCACTGGGCTCCACTCCAACAGTACTCAGTAACTTTTTTTTTTGGTTTTTGAGACAATCTCACTCTGTGGCCCAGGCTGCCTAGAATTTACTATGTAGCCCAGGCTAATCCAGAACTGCCTTCAGCCTCCTGAGAATGCTGGGATTACAGGTGTGAACCACCATGCCCATGGAGGCCTAAGGCCCTTCACAATTAGATTAAGAGTAGGCCTTAGCCTGGTGTGGTGATACACACCTTTAATTACAGCACTTGGGAGGCAGAGGCAAGTGGATCTCTGTAAGTTCAAGATCAGCCTGGTCTACATAATGAGTTCCAAGCCACCACGAGCTACATAGGGAGACCCTGTCTCAAAAAAATAAATAAATAAATAAAAAGGGCAGCCTCCACTCCATGACCTGACTAATCACATGTCCTCCTTCCTCTCTGTTTTTCACTAGCAAACTGGGCAAAAAAAAAACAGTTCTTGCCTTAGCAGCAAATATGCACAGAGAGCTGGTATCTGACTCATTCCCTGCCAAACCCTTTAAGGAAGGTACTATAATGTATGTTGTTTGATAAATGATGCAACTGGGGCTCCAAGAGGTTGAATTCTCCCACCCAAGGTCACACAGCTGGGATGTAGCAGAGTGAGGATTAGAACTCAGCACCCTGAGTGTTGGTCTATAGACTGTCTTTTTTTAAAATATTTTATTTATTATTTTTATTTTATGTGTATGAGCGTATTGCCTGCGTGTATGTGAGTGCCACGGAGGTCAGGAGAGGGCTTCAGATTCCCTGGAACTGGAGTAAGGACCATTCGTAGCCGCCAAGTGGGTGCTGGGAATTGAACCCAGATCTTCTGCAAGAGTAATCAGTGCTCTTAACCCCTGAGCCATCTCTCCAGCCCCTAGACTGTCTTAATGATAGGCAGAGGCATCCCTCATCAGCTATTTCCCATGAAAGGACAGTCATGCTGGAGACCAGCTGATCCCCAACAGCAGCTTTCTACTTGCTCTGCACTGGCCTCTTGAGGTATACCTAACAAGATATTGAGTATCTACTGTATGCCAAAGCCTGAAATTATGGCAGCTTCTCACTGGACAGAGGAAACTGATGCCCAAAGAAGAAATATACCTCACCAAAAGTTATACCAACAATAACAGAGAGATTCAAGTCTATATAGTCTGGTACCAAAATCTAGGCCCTTTGCCACAGCATCCTACCCAGGCTATTTTATGTCCCCTAAGGCCCTTGACCTTGTGTGTGCTGTTGCCTTGGGTCCCCAAGGCCTTGACCAGAACTCGGTTGGGCTCCTTCCCCAGGTGCTGCAGGTCCCACAGGTTGACATTGCGATCTCGGGAGCCCGAAAGACACAGTGCCCCACCCTAGAAGGAGAGCAAGGAGATAGTGTTGGGGTCTTCCCACCCCCCTCTGCATGGCCTCCCACCTAACCCCCCTCACCTGGAGCAGCAGCACTGCATCAATGGAAGCAAAGTGCCCATCAGACAGGCAGAAGTACTCGGCCCGTTGCCCATCCTCTGCCCAGCGGGCCAGGTGCTGTTCCAGTTCGATGCAGGCCGCTGGCCAGTCAAAGTCCTCCTCTGTAGGGCACCATGAGCAGGATCCTCAGTGGGAACCAGATGGCAGAGCCCAGCCCTGGCTGCCAGGAAGCCCAACCTTTACCAGACTTGGAAAGAATGCCACCTGGATGTCACCCCCTACCTCAAGTAGCCCTAGACTCTGGCCTTGCCTTAAGCCACCTACTCACTCATCTCCCAGGCAGGACTAGGACTACTTAATCCAGTTCTCAGAAACCAGAGCTATAACTTTCAGGCTTCATCCCTCATTGCAAGCCTGGGGACAGCCACCTCAGGATGCTAAGATCCTGTCTTACACTCAATCCTCTCTGGGGCCTCAGGACTAACCCTTCTTGCCTCAGCCACCTGACTCAGACCCAGACCCAGGGACAGTTCTCAAACTGCTATCTGTAAACCAGGAAGCCATGTCAAGATACAGAATTCAAGAGATGGGAGGTGTGGCTCAGCAGTAGAAAGCTTGCCTAGCAAGCACAAGGCTCTGGCTTTTATCCCCAGTATGCCCACTGGTACCCAAAAAGGCAGAATCTAAACCCAAATCCTAAAAAGGCAGTGATTCAGTGGTATGGATGGGGCCCAAGCACCTATTTATCAAAGCTGTTTAGAAAGCTGTGTTTGGGGAAATTGTTGGAAGGCAAATCTCTAATTCAGAAGTCTGCAGAGTCAAAGCTTCCAGGTAGGGAATTAACTATTCTACTTGCCAGTAGTGTGTCTCAAGGGCCTAAGGACCCAGTAGTATCAGGATCAATAATACCTCAAGGTTGTGCTGAGGATGAGACAAGTGATAGAGAACTTGTCTAGTATATCCAAAGGCCTGAGTTCCATCCCTAATACCGGAATGAAAAAAAAAAAAAAACAAATCCTCACAATCAACAATTTTGAGATGTCTGCTCCTCCAGGGACCAAAAAACTCAAAGGCTGAAAGGACAGACTCACCAGTTCTGGAAAGATGACATGCTAGCCCAGAATTCATAAGGCTAAGGCCAGAGGATCAGGAGTACAGGCCAGCCTGGGATACATGAGAACCTGTCTCAAAATAATAATTAAATAAAACAGGGGCGGGGGGGGGGAAGATAGGCTAGATCCAGGAGTTAAATATTGTTGGTATTAAGGATCCCCAAGCACTAAACCCCAGGCTAATTCAGGGTTGCAGGGTCTTGAGACTCAGAATCCCTGCTTCACTTATCCTGAGTCAATACTCCAGGGTTCAAGGCTTTGTCATCACCAGTTGCTGCCTGTGCCTCAGACTACATCCAGAGTGTAAGGATTCTTGGGCTTATTTTGACATCCAAGTACAATCTGAGACTTCGGGGCCTGGAGTTATCCCCATCAGGCCTAGGGCCTTGGTGCTAGCAAAGCCCAAACCTGAGAACCTTTGAATTCTGAGTTTAGAGACCCCAGGTCCGTAGCTCTCCCTAAAGAACCCAAATGTTTGCCTCACGGGCGAGCGAGTACTTTGGCACCACGGGAAATTATCTCTGCCCTCAGTCAAAGCTGGAATTGCCACGAAGCTTGCCCCAGGCCTGTACCCACGCGTAGGCCTGGTACCTCTTTTACCCCATGCAATGCCTGGCCTGGGCGGGCGTTCCTGTTCTCGGTTGTGCTCACCTTCCACCACCGGGTAGGGCGCGCGCACGCGGCGCTGAGCACGTAGCCGCCAGGTGACATGGTCACGTACAAGGTCGTGCAGCGCTTGGCACACGCACGGCAGGACGTGGAGCACGACGCGAGCATCTAGGTAGCCGCAGATCTCAAGTAGCAGCTCCGGGGGCAGGCTCAGCAGGCTGGGCACATGCGCCGCTGAGACCTTGGAGGCCGCCCTTCGCTCCAGCGCGCCGGGGGTCGCCGAAAGCCTGGACTGCAGCGGGGCGCGCGGGGCAATCAAGCCTGGTTTAGGCGGGGTAAGCACGCGGGCCACGTAGGCCTCGGCCTGCGCGTCGGGGTCTGGCTCCAGCTCAGCGTCCGAGTCATCGTCGCAGGAGCGAGGATCCTCGCACAGACCTGAGGGAAGCTCCATGGCGACCGGGTGGGCGCGGCTGGCCAGGCTTGGCAGGGGCTGGCCCGCGTCTGGTTTCCTAGGCAGCACGAGATCACTTCCGGCGCTTCTAGATGACGTCAGAGGTCACCAGAAGCGACAGATTAATGTGTATGTTGGGTTGTTTCCTGATAACCTGGTAGCTGGTGCTTATTCTGCAAATTTCTAGTTCCTACTTTGTTTTTGCTTGAGACAGGATGCACATTACTTTTACCTCAAAGGGAAGAGGTTTTTAAAGGTTTTTTTTTAATACACGCTTTTTATTGAATTTTTGTGATTTCATATATCTTAATCATATTGACCCCCTTCCCTGTCTGCACCCCCCCATGTCCCGCCCACAGGATCTCATGCATTTTGTCCTATGTCAAGGCCTATGGAGTCGTTTGTGTACCCAGTCGTACCTGGGTACAAGTTCATTCAGTGGAGCTTGTTCAGCCTCATTTCCTTAAAGATCAACTCTCCCTCACGCAGCAATGATCAGCTGCCAATAGTTCCCTCCGCTAAGGTTAGGGCCTCCTGCCTATTTCCTGGGTTCTGTGCCGGTTTTTATCTGAGTGAGTATGCATAGATCTTGTGCATGCTATACCATTGCTTTAAGTTCATATGAGCAAGATCCCAGAAGCTTCTAAGACTGTTACCTTGTGGTCGTGCACCACCCCTGGCTGTTAAACGTTTTCCTCAATGGTTCCTGAGCTCTTGGGTGGGTGAGGTTTAATATAGTAGCCCAATCCAGGGACATTCTATAGTCTCTTAATCTCTACATGTTGGCTAATTGTGGCCTTTGTTCATCACTGTTGTAATGCTCGCTAATGAGAGTTAAGATGCATTATTATTCTCTCTACCCCTGGTTCCACAATGTTCTATGAGCCTTAAATGTAGAGGTCACTTAGGGTTGGGCATTTTACAGACTTCTCTGTGTCTACCAGTTGTGGAATTCTGTGCTAGTCTCCATCTGCTGCAGAAGAACCTTCTTTGATGAGTGGTGACTGTTCAACTTGCCTGTAAATATAAGGATCCATGCTTTAACATATACATTTGTCTAGAGATGTGACAGAGGTAGTTTTCTCTAGGATCTATGACCTGTCCGGCCATGTGTATTTGACTATGTTCGCAGTGCCACACAAGCTCCCAACCATTGAGAGGGCTTTCAGTCCAATTAGATAGCTGTTGATTACCCCTAAGATAAAAGTGCCACTACTCCATTGTTATAGTTTGCTGTGTTAGCCATTGTGTTTATTGGGCTTTAAAGCTGGGGTTGAACCACTGATTGACTTTCTACCTTTTCAGCTTGCATAGTATTGTCCAAAACTATGAGAGCTCATCTTCAGGGAGGTGGCTTCCAGGTCATTTCCAGCTCCACTGCTCTAATTCCTGTGTCCAAAGCACGCCACTTTCAGAAATAGGGGCTTACCTTCAAGTTCTGGGAGGTAATCAAGGGCTGTTGGCAATAGCCTGCATTATTTTGGGAGTCTCTTGACCAAACCTGGCCAACAACTTGAAGGGAGGCTTCTCCTGTCTGGAACTGTTTCTCTTGTTATATAGCTTTCAGCTATACATGTGCAATCATATACAGATATTATAGATATTGTATGTGTATTTTCCAGGCTTTTGAACTAATACATTGCTCTCTGGTAAGCATTATTGATCACCAGCTACGCATTATTGATCTCTCATCTCTCTCACAGTCTTAACTAGGGAGAGAGGGAGGGTTAAAGATTTTTTTTTTTTTGGCCCTTTTTGGGGATAGGGTCTCCCTATAGTCTCAGCTGGCCTGGAACCCACTGTGTAGACTCGGGCTAGCTTCTGCCTCCTGAATGCTGGCATGCACCACCACATCCAGCCTTGACTTTTTAAGATAGGGTCTGTCACTACATAGACCTGGCTGACTTGGAACTCCTTCTGTAGACCAGGCTAGCCTTTGCCCGAGATCACCTACCTTTGCCGGGAAAGGTGTGTGCCATCACCCCCAGCAGGAGTGGCTTTTTTCCTGAGAACCTCAATAGGTCTCAATTTGTCTTCCAAAGTAGTTGAATTACAGTGATTCTTTTTCAGCTGGAATTCACTATGTAGGCCAGACAGGCTTCAAACTCACAGAGATCTCTGCCTCCCAAGTGCTGGGACTACAGGCATGGACCACCACACCCAGCTTAGTATTATTTTTATGTGTGAGTGTACCACCTTGCGTGTATGTACCTGTGTCATGCAATGCCTATGGAGGTCAGAAGAGGACACAGGATTCCCCTGAAACTAGTGCTAGGAATCAAACCTGCAATGACGATGTTTTTTTCTTTTTTGGACTTTTTGACAGCGACTCCCTGTAGCCCCAGCTGTCCTGGAATTCTCTATGTAGACCAGGCTGGCCTTGAACTCACAGAGATCCACCCGCCTCTGCCTCCTGAGTGCTGGGATTAAGTGCATGCACCGCCACGCTGGGTTACAACCAGTGCTCTTAACCACTGAGCCATCTCTCCAGCCCTTACTCAGCTATTCTTTTTTTTTTTTTTCAAGGTTTGATCATTTGTTACTTTTAAAGATTATTTTTGAAAAAATATGTAACGCTTCACGAATTTGCGTGTCATCCTCGTGCAGAAAGTCAGCTAGGAATAGATGTCTGCTATGGAGGCTCATCAGTGAGCTGGGTCCCAGAGAATGCCGTGCATGTTTCATGTGTACATCTAAGATGGGCATGGTGGCGCATACCTTTAATCCCAGCACTCGGGAAGCAGAGGCAGGCAGATCTCTGAGTTTAAGATCAGCCTGGTCTACATAGCTAGTTCCAGGCCAGCAGGGCTGCAGGGAGACCCTGTCTCAAATAAAAAAATAAAAATCACATGTACAGCTAATGGTCCCTTTCAGTCACTTTCCTACATTACATGACTGAAAACAGGCTTCCTTTGTCCCTCAATTTTACTTTTCTAGTTCTGGGTTTAAAGCTAGAGCCAGTCCCCTAAAAATAATTTCATAAATGGAATTCTGTGTTTCCAACTTGTTGAAACAGGTCTCACAACTTAGCCCAGGCTGATCTCAAACCTAGTATCCTGCCTTGGCCAGCTACGCATCTTCATTTTTATTTGGTGGATATTATGTGGGTGCACACACTTTCAGAGGCCCGAGGAGTGTCAGGTGTCCTGCTCTATCACCCTCCACCTTATTCTCCAGAGACAGTATCCTTTACTGGACCTGGAGCTAGACTTGCTCCTGCAATTCTCCTATCTCCACCTCACAGAGCACCAAGGTTAAAGGCCACCTCCACACCAGTCACCATCACCACCAAGGACATAGAAACCAGACACCAAAGGTTTCACAAGAAACTGATCTTTACTCAACAAAGTTCTACACAAGTGGAATCTCACGCCACCTTGGCGCCAGTCCCCAGCACAGCACGGTAACAGATGGACAGACCTGGGAGCCCAGAGGGGGTAAGAGGGCAAAAGAGGAAAAGAGGGACTGGGAAAATGGTGGGGGACTGTGGATCAAGGTCAGTCTGTGTCCACAGCTTTGGGCAAGGAAGGTTAAGAAGGTGAAATTCCGTTGTGCAAAAACCAACTAAAAATAAATTAAAAAATTAAATAGCCTTCTTTAAAAAAAAAAAAAAAAAACGAAAAATCAAAAAAATGAAGCTCCCCTTCCCAGAGAGGGGTTGGAACCCCCCAACTTGAACAAAGGGGATAAATACAACCCCACACACACACACAATCTACAC